CTCATGCCCAGACTGCTATTTTTCATTTCTCTGCAGCAATGCATAAAAAAACTGTGCAAATAAAGTAAATCTGCCTGGGAACCTCAGGGATGTGTGCAAGTAGGAAGGTCCCTGGGGAAGCTCTTGGGAGGTTAGAGTGCAGACAGACGCAGAGAGGCAGACACTGATTGAGGCTGATGCAGCAGTGGAGCTGGCATAGAGTAAGCAACCATAGGTGGGAGGCTGCCAGGGAGAATAATTGATTCCAGAAAGAGTTGGGCACTCAGGGCCCTTACTGGGTACAAGCCTGGGAGAGCTCCTGGTATTAAATGGACTGCATGGCCTGCTTCCAGGTGGCTGCTCTGCTGGGCTCAGTTCCCTACAGGGCAGGAACCCTGCTTAGAGCTTCAGGAGGTGAAATAAAGGATGCATCACTGAAAGCACTTTTCACTAAATGAAAAAGTGTTCAGTTCTCATTGCTAAGGGCACAGCTCGGTTACGGAGCACAGAATGCTCCTTTCACACCAGAATGATGCTGGAAGGGAAGGAGAGCCAAACAGACTCCTGTCCTCAGCACAGGGCTGCCCACGGCCGCATGGAGCACCACTACCTGGTGTGTGCCAGGAGGAAGTCTGCGAGTGGAAAACATTCCCTCTCTGCAGACTGGGGTGGGAAACTAGGGTCTGTGTGCTGAGTGAGAGGTTCGAAATGGCTTGGTTCCTCCTGCTGGCTTTTGAACTACTTAGTTCCCTACTGGAAATCAGGTGCTGGAATTAATTGAAAAGCCCAAACCAGCCCTGGTTGCCTGGATTGCTAACATACAGGTCAGTGACCCTGGGAATGTGCTGACAATACCTCTTCACTTTTTTCACTTTTTTTTTTTTTTTTTTTTTAACTGTCAAGGGGTATTTTGCAGCACTGCCTTAAAAATGCTGCACTGGGAGTGATCATACCTCGTGACTTCGCTGTATTTTTCCTGCATGGAGCCACTGAGCTTTTTCTACTCAAGGTCCTATCCATGCTTTGCGAGGACTCCCCACACTCTGGACAATGGCTACAGGTTTTCCCTGGGTTCTGCTCAGCTCTTTGCTAAGGAATGCACAGCAAACAGCTTCCATCCAGACACCATTTGGCTCTCTGGCAACAATTTTTCATTTCTTTTGTCTGGGAGAAATATTAGCTGTCATTAACAACTGCCTGCCTGGGGGGAAATGGACATGAGGAATATGTGAGGTACTTTTAGATGGACTCACAAGGTTCTCTAGTGAGTATTTGTGCTTTTTCTTGGCATAATAAATGACTGTTCTTTTTCAATTGGTTTGCATGTTTCATGCCCTGCCTGCACATGTTCCTCTGTCAGGTGTCCCTCTGAGCTGTGCTGCTGTCTTACCTTGCAGGTATGAGAAGATGATCAGTGGGATGTACCTGGGGGAAATAGTCCGCAATATTTTGATTGACTTCACCAAACGAGGGTTCCTGTTCAGAGGGCAGATCTCAGAGACGCTGAAGACCAGGCATATCTTTGAAACCAAGTTCCTTTCACAGATTGAGAGGTAAGGGCATCACGTGGGAGGCTGTGCAGAGTGAATCAGTATGGTAACACTGGTGCTGCTGGTGGAGCCTGACAGTGGAAGCAGCAGTTGATGCAGTGAGGCTCCTGCCGGTGGCTCAGCTGAGGAAAGCCTTTAATGCTGTGTTCTTCTGCTCCCACAGTGACAGGTTAGCCTTGCTTCAGGTGCGAACCATTCTCCAGCAGCTGGGGCTCAACAGCACGTGCGATGACAGTATCATTGTCAAGACAGTGTGCGGAGCGGTGTCGAAGCGAGCGGCTCAGTTGTGTGGTGCCGGAATGGCTGCAGTTGTAGATAAAATTAGGGAGAACAGAGGCTTAGAGCACCTGGAGATAACGGTTGGTGTGGATGGAACTCTGTACAAATTACACCCACAGTGAGTATTCACCTCTGTGTTTGTTTTGCGACCTGTAGTGCGTTGCTGCATGTCCTTTTCCCAAGTGGTTTCACTTGTTTGCTAGGATGAGAGCCAGGGAAAAGAGATCTTAATCAGGGTTGGCTGGAGCCTTCTAGAGGGTTATGAGAGGATCAAGGAAGACTTGTGAAGGACTCAGGGGGCTGTGACAAGCTGAAGGTGACACAGCTTGCTGAACAGGTTTGAGGCCATGTAGCAAGGGAATGGTCTCTTGGCTATGTACAGGCAATGAAAAGCAACTTGAGTGCCTGATGCCTCTCTGGGAGATGGCTCTGCTCATCAGGGGGAGGGGATGGACCACTAGGAAGCAGCAACAGGCAAAGGCAGGGGGTCTAGCACAGCTAGGTCCACAGGGAGGACAGGAATAGTACCTGTCTCCAGTGTAAGGACGTAGATGAGAAGGAGAAGAGCACACAATATTTTTTTTTCCACTTTGCTGTGGTTCTAGTGGTCCAGGTAGCCCCATGTGAAGAGAGAGAGAGAAAAGACCTCTGCTCCCAGTCTTCTCACCCACTATAGTTTCCAGCATTTAGGTGCCTCTGCTGTGCTAAGGGGAGCACTGCAAAGGCCTGCAGCAGCGCTGTGCTCTGCAGGTGCTGCAAGACCTCCCTTGTTCACTGCCATTGTTTCCCTTTGCAGCTTTTCGAGGATTATGCACCAAACAGTCAAAGATCTGGCACCCAAGTGTGATGTGACTTTCCTGCTCTCGGAGGACGGCAGCGGGAAAGGGGCAGCGCTCATCACGGCGGTGGGATGCAGGCTTCGTGATGCCGAGCAGAACTGAACTCCACAACCCTGGCCTTGAGTCTGTCTCGTGAGCACCTTCTCCTAAAGCAGCGACTGCGTAGTCTGAACTGGTTTAAAAAAAAAAAAAAGGAAAGAAAGAAAAGAAAGAAAACAACAGAACTCACTGCTTTATTGGGAAAAAAAATGCAACTAATGACATAAAAAGAATAGGATACAAGATAGAATGTGTGCTGTTAATAATATCTCCTGTTTATGGACCCCAATCTGCATGTTTCTTATTCACCTTGTTGGTACCTTCCCCATCTGTAGGTCATGGAAAAAACTGGTCTATAATTTCTGCAGTTACAAAACAATCGGTTGTTGTCCGAGATGAAATTTCCCCAATTGATGTGCGTTGAGATCTGCCACTGCGTCGTACCGAGTGTGACCTTTGCAGCTTCCCTGTGAAGTGCACTGCCAGCACGCTGACCACCATGCCCGGGTGCTGATGCTTTCTGTGAAAGGGAAGCAACAGTTCCCTCCCACAGATCTACCTGCTGTTGTTTTGTTTAAGGCCACTTTGGAAGAATTGCGGTGTGTCGGCGCTGTGCACGCACGTAACTCTATAGTGGGATTTGACAACGCGACTTACTTGCTTTCTTGATGCCTGTTTTGTCATGGTAAAATTAAAGTAAACGCCCTTGTCCCACTGGTCTGGTTCCACTGGTATTTCCCCTCGCTTCTGTGAGCGGTGTTGTGTTACTGAGCAAAATCTGTAACATTTTGGCACGAAATCCCTACGGAGTCCAACAAAGCAGCTAGTGATTGGGGTAATCCAAATCTTCAGACCTGGGAAATCAGTAAACCTATGGTCCCTGGGCTGTGCTGTCTTCATCTGTTTAAAGAGTTCTTAGGAAAGTTATTTTTTATCTCTTCTTGTTAGTTTAGCTCAGGGTGTGTGGCTGCCCTCCTAGGAATCTGCAGCTCAGTAGTATCGCTCAGACTGTACTTCTGCCTCTCGCCTTAAATGGGTATTTGCTTCCACACAAAGCTTTAATCTTTAGTACTGTTAAGCAGGCACTCAGAACACGAGCATTCAGCTAGAGTTAATGACCAGAAAGGAACGTGAGGGCTTCATTTTAAGCTTGACGTTGAGGACCTAAACAAACCACAAAGACAACATCAGGCCCGGCTTATTCCAAGGACTAAAGCGATGACAAAGACCGTGTACACTTGGCGCATCCTGCCCTCTGTCGAGTCGATGCCATTATTGTATTTGCACAGCAGTCAGTTGCATTACTTACACTGCGAAGCAGTTAGGAAGGCAAAAGCTAAATAACACTTGCCAGTCGCTCTGCTTTCTGCAAGGAGGGAGACCACGCAGCAGTGCTGAATTCCCACTCTTTTACCAAAATACACGTGAAGTCTCTGCATGGTTCTCCCCACTCTCTTCTCCCGCAGAAAGTAGCTGACAGCGTGCGGGCTGCTCCTCTTCGTCCTCTTGCCACCCCTAAGATTTGGATTGCCCTACCTATCGATAACATTTCAATATGCGTTATGGTGCACTGTGAGTGAATGTTGTAAAGTAACATGTGAGTCACAAACAGTCATTGCAGCTTTAAGTGTGTCTACCTGAAAAATTGCATGCCTGACTGGTTTTGCAAAGGTAGAGAGTCTTTTTACTTTGCACACTAGTAGCTCTGATACTAGTGTTACGTGGTTTTTGTGACAATATTAAACTTTTTGATGTGTGTTACCTGGTGTTTAGTGGTTCTTTCTGGAAGAGGTGCTGTTGGCTGCCAGCTTAGTGCTTTGGGAAGAGTTATTGCGCAGGGAGAGCCAGAACCTAATCCTGGTAGTGCCTGTTTTTAGTTAGTTAGTTTGTTTGTTTGTTTTGTGTGTGTGTGTGTGTGTGTTTATTCCAACAGGGTGCCTGTCATGCAGGCCTCTATGCCTGGTGCTCCCTCTCATAGCTCAGCAGAGGCACAGAGCTGACAGCACCCTGATCTTAGAGTGACTGAGTTTTGGAGGTGAAGAACACAGGTTTGTTGGATTTTGTTAGTTGGATGCAGCTCATAGCAAGCAGGAAGGGAGTTTGTATTTCTAACTGTGTGACCTTCCTACCACAGGCTATGTACTCCATGAGAAACAGCGGGACCTTCTGGGGCTTCCATTTCCAAACTGCTTCTTACCCTTAGAGAATAGAAGTCCTCAGAGACTGCTGCATGTGAGAGAGGTTTGGCTTGTGAGAATTAAAATACAGAGCTCACTGGGGAGGTGTTCTTTGCTTCTCTGCAGCATGAGTCCGCACAACCTCTAGACCAATTTGAAATAATTGGATCTTGTTGATGTTGTAGGATCTTCCTGCATGCCAAGGTATGGCTCTGTAATGCTACATGCAAACCTATCATGAAGGGTGAAGGGGATTGCAAGGTGCTACTTATTAACATGGTATAAAATACTGTGTCACATTATATATCACTTTTGTATTTCAGCTTCTGTTTTGCATACGTGCACGTATCTCAGGCTTTGAAGATGACACATTTCAGCCTTTATTTTAGTATCTGAGGAGGGAAGACGGTGATGACAGAAATGGGTAAGTCTAGAAGGGGACAACAAAGGGGCTTCTGTGATGGGGACCTGGCAGGGCTGCTGAGGTTGTGGTACAGGCAGCCTCAGAGTATAAAGCTCAGAGATGCCATGGCTATTGCACACCCATGTGTCACACCATGTGCTGCAAACCTGGCTGCTCAATGTGGCGGCTAAGGAGCTGCCCACAGCAGGTATTGCTGAGCACCTTCCTCAGGGACAGGAGCTCACAGGCTCAACCAACCCTGTCTGTGACTCCGCAGAGAGCCAGTCCCCAACTGGGTGCCACAATGAAGGAGTTGAAGGTGGAGGAGTCACCTGAGCACAGTTTAACAGGAAAATTACATCATATTTTGGTACAAGCTTATAGAAATCCATGCAAAGATAACTCTTTAGGGAACCATTTCTCACTTCTAATTGGTGAGAATGGAAGTGGCAGGCCTGAAAACCCCAGAATTCAGAACAGTTCTGGGCAGGCTTTTCAGAAGAAATCAAAGAGTTTGCTGGGTGAGGGTAAGAGAGGTCTTCTCTTTCTCATTGAATTGAGTTTCAGTGTTGGAACTTGATCTTCTTGCCTTTCTGCGGGTCGACTGACAGAGAGATGGGGCTGTGAGTTTAAGCTTGTCTTTCTCAGTTGCTTTTATGCATGGACACCACCGGAATGCTAATTTGAAACCAGAACGAAACCTGCAAGCATAAGAGAAGAAAATAAATGCAAAGATCTTTTCAATTGCACAGAGAAAGAGCAAACATGCATCTTGATTCTACCCCTGAGTCGCCATGGAAATAAAAGGTACCGCTCTAGGGTTGGGTGTTTTATTGGTGGTGTCCCAGTGAAACTGGGCTGGTGCTGCTGGAGGTGTGCAGACCCACATGAGCATCATGCCCATGCTGGGGGCTCAGAGGGGAGCAAGAGACTGAATCAGCCTGGTGCTGGGCCAGCAGATGCAATGAGGGGATTGCAGATTCTTCCCTCCTTCCTTATACTAAGGCATGCTACCCACCTTTGGTTGAGACAACAGTAGATGATAGGGTTGTACATTGTTGAGCTCATGGCAAGCAGAAAGATGGTGAGATAAACCTGCTGAATATACTTCTGCTGGTAGATGTCTTCCTTGAAACTCCCCAGGATGAAGTATATGTGATAGGGCAGCCAGCAGACAGCAAAAATGATCACGACCACCACCATGGTCTTCACAAACTGGGGAAAGAAACAAGAAGTGTTCATTATTCCTGGGTCTCTGTCTGGCTGAGCTTGCTGGGATATACAAAATTCTGCTACCATTCTAGGCCTGTTTTGGCCCCCCGAAATGCTGTGTGTGGGCTCTTTGGGCAAGGAAACCAGTGTTGGTGGAGGAAATGGAAGGCATGTGGATTCACCAGGCGTGGAGTTCTGCTGGGCAGCCACTGATGTGAGCTGCCTTCTTTGTACCCTGGTTGGGGTGTGGAGAACATTGCTTTTACTGCTCACTGGGTGATGCCCTTTGCCCCTTGGCCTAAGATATAGTCCATCAACCTTTGATGCCCAAAGATACCGCAAGATTTCATATCAAATGCAAGCTCTAACTGAAGCAGGAGCCAGAAAGGCTGCTGTGCTGAGGGTACTCAATTTTGAGTCTCACTTCTGACCTTTTTTTTGGCGTTGACTTGATGTTTGTATCGGACTCGATTAACATGGTTGCCTGGAACCGCGCTGCTCCACAGAGTAATTCCTATAATGCTGTATGTAACAAACATCACCATTAAAGGCAGTAAATAAATCAACACGATCACGGCAATGTGATACCTGCAAAAGAAAAACAAGCACATTTCCATATCAGTGTGTCTCCTGAAGGGATCTCCAGAAGTTGTCTGGCTCCCATCAACTTCAGTGCCAAAGCATCATCAAGAAATTTTGCCTACCAACATCATTACAGGGGCTTCTGTGAACAGAATCATGGAATCATGAGGTTGGAAAAGCCCTCTCCGCTCACCCAGCCCACCCCCGCCTGCCCACTGCAGCAGTTCCTGTTTGTGAGTACACACACCATGAAAGCATTTGTCACCAGCACACTACTCCATTTCTGTTTCAGATGAAAGTGCTGCCATGGTCTTCGGCTGTATGTGAGCTCTGGCCCTCCCTGTTACCCCACAGCTCCTCTGCTTGGGTTTGACTATTTTAAGCGAGCACCATTTATGGGGAGGGAACAACCCGCTCACTCAATTACAGTGGCTGTCAAATTAACATAAACAGTGTGAAAACTGGGATTAGGAAGGAGGGCCGTGGCACACGCTGCTGGCACTGCCCACACAAGGCTGGGTACACATGCTTTTTCTCTGCATGACAACGCCATGTAACTCCTCATTTCATTAGGAACCAGGCTCAGCTGTTCTGCAGAGCACCACAGGGATCGGTATCAGGCTGCTTGCTGTTGTTTGCTCTGTGGGATAGTTGCTCTGTTGCCCACCTCCTGTAGCTCTGCCTCCCCATCCTTCAGGTCTGAGGCTGCGCGGGAGCAGTGAGCTGGCAGATGCACAAAGATTTATGATTCTGGGCAGGCTGCAGATCAGCCAGGCTCACACAGAGCTCCTGGAACTTGGCACGTAATTGTGTGACAACCAGTTACAGTGGCAGTGAGCAACCACAGGAGGTGTCCAGAGTTCGTAGCTCCTACAGCCACTTTGCAAAGCAGGGCAGGACTGTGTGTCACTCTTCACTTACAATGAACATGATCACATGGCAGCTGTTCCCTCACCTGACTAAAACTAAGCTTGGATGGGCTGCCGCAAACCTATTTTCCCCCACTATGCAGTTCCCCAAATTTCCCCCTCCCTAAGCCCTCTGCCCCAGAACAGTCTGCAGCCAACAGCTCAGACATGAAATTAGTTTGGTAACTTTTTTGTAGAAATGGTGAGTTTTCTCCTCTCTCTTACGTGAGCTGGTGCTTTGACCCAACGTCATCCGGCCAGACAACGATGCACTTTGTTGTCCCGTTGTCCATCATGATCTCAGCATAGAAGCACTGTGGGAAGGCGAGCCCAAAGGCCACCAGCCAGATTATCCCAATGATAACCCTGGTGTTTCCAGCAGAAAGCCTGGGCTTGAAGGGATGAATTATTGCCACATACCTGCAAGAAAAGTGGGTAATACATTTACGGTTGCATTGGTAAACTTTGCAACAAATACAAGAAGTGTAAAAATTCACCCAACGATCTGGTGGGCCTTATTTGCAGAGCTATTCTGGCAGGCTCCAAGAGCCAAGTCCACTTTAAAGGGAACGACTGCAAGTCTTAAGGTAGGATGTTAGTCCCATGTTGGTGGATGGATGGATGGATGGATGGATGGATGGATGGATGGATGGATGGATGGATATCTCTGGTGCAAGGAGGAAGCACCACCGATGCTGTCTGCACACGGTACTTCTCAAGTATTTCCCTTGCTTTGAATTATGGGTGTTTTTTTTGTTTTTTTTTTTTGCTAGTTCTATTTTTAATTATTTTTTAAAATGCTTTGTATATTTGGTCTAAAATTTGTTGCTGTGAACTGTTTGTCTTCGTTTGGAGTTACGCACTGCTTTTCTTCCCTCCTTGACCAAAAAGACCTAAACACACTGTTCCCACTGTGTCAATCTCATTTGATACCGGGTATCACGAAGACAGCAGATTGGAGCCTCTATTCTCATATCCTTTACTCTGCATTTTTTCCCACTGATTCTTAGCAGTGGGAAATTGTTGTGCCATCCACCTCTGCTTGCCAAAGCTGGAGCCCTTGTGATTTAAGGGACGGGCTGCCCCTTCTGCCCCACACCTGCTCAGGGCCCTCACGCCACATCGGACTATTGGATTACTTCTCTGCCTGGTTTTAAGTTCCCTGAGCAGGAACACATGGGATCATAATGAGTACATAATCAATTATGCATTTCTTGTCATGCTTTCCACAGTCTTGTCACAGTTGTTACAAAGGCGAAATAGAGTGGAAAATGCGAATGGAAATCTGTGGATCCTGTGCTGTCTGCTGGCTGAGCTGCTGAGAGGGAGCTCCGCTGACACTGCTGCAGGACAGAGGGTGGCTGCCCACACAGGCAGCACGGTCAATAAGCCAGAGCTGCACACAGCAGAGCCTTTTTTAGCTATAAAGTGCTCGTGTCACCTTGCATTTTCTTAGCTCATCGCAGCGGTGTTACACAATGCTCAAACCTGCTCAGGGAAGCATGACATGGCAAATATTCTCCAAAGCGTTTCCCAGACCCATGATCTGCAGCTCTGGTGACCAGTGGGTGCCACGTACGACTGCTGTGCTGCTGGAGCAGCCTGACCAGCAGCCCATGCTGCAGGAACCCAAAATCTCACTGTGCTTTCCTCCCTCCTCTTGCTGTGCAGATCTGCCTTTGCCCCCTGCTTGTACCCCTGTCCACGGGACATCCCAGGATGTGGATGTGAGCAATTGTGGCCACAAACGTCCATGCAGACAGTGATGACGAATGGATTGAACACTTCTTGTCCCCCTTCCTTACAATAAACAAGTTCTAAAGACAGTGTTCTGTTAAACCTAAGCAATGGAGCCAAAGAGGACGTGAGTTCTCATAACAATAAATGGAAGCTGTGAGTTTCCAGGAGACTGTGTCAGGATCTATTTTAAGGGTAAGCGAGAATAGCTAAATATGGTTTGTGGGGAGATGCCAAGTTTTCTTTCTGATCCTTGCCATGTGACCAGGGAGATTTTGGCTGTATAGATACTTCCATCGAATGTCCCTAAGGAATGAGAGTGGGGAGTCGTGGGGACAGGCCGAAATGGGGTTGTTTCAAAGATTTTTGGCAGACTACGTGTCTGAAACAGCTGTTACCAACAGCCCTTGATTTCAAGCCAGGAAAAGCAAAAGAGTATTGGAGTCTCAGATGGAGCTGCTGTTGCATCTAAATACAGCCTTGCTTTCATCTGCAGGGCGATCAACACATCACTCATCCCCATGCTTATTACCAACCCTTCCAGCCGCTACGGCAGCCGCTGCCCCGTACTTGGCAAGCTGCAGGGCCGGTTTCTGGGCGTCATGCATGCAGGGCAAGGCCTCCTCTCGCCAACTGGTTTGTTTATCCGCTGCGATGTGCCTGTCTCCTGCTTCCTGCTGCTGGGTGCGTGGGGCGAGCCCAGCCCTGAGCGGGGCGGGAGCAATGGACTCACCCCAGTGAGTCACAGAGTAGGGCTTCTCAGGGGGGTCCCAGAGGGACCATTTCCCTGGAAGAGCCTTTGGCAGATATGCACGCTTGATAAGAAACAGGAAATCGGAGGGGAACTGTGGGGTCAACAGGAGGGCTCAATAAGGAAGCAGCAGTACTTCTGGACGCCTGGGGACAGGCCTCTGCCGGAAAGGTTCCCAGAGTCAGGCAGACAGCGGAATGAACAGAGGGAGGGTGGAAGGACGGGAGGAAGGAGGGCAGAGAGTCCTGAAGGGCGCTCGGCTGCTCCATGCCCTCACTGACTGCCTGCAGGGCAGGAAATTCCCACAGACTTCTGACCACTTTCTAGTAAAAAGAAAAACAGCGTCACGCTGCTTACCAATGAGGTGTAAACACAGCGAGTGCCCATAGTTAAGCTCGAGTAAAGAGGCTTGGCAGATGTAAAGAGTATTATGAAAATGCCAGTTACCTCAGAAATCAAACAATATCACTGTGATTACTTCCCTCTCTCTTGGAATGTGCCATTCTTATGAACCGTTGCATATGCAACCGACCGCCGTTCCTGATCTGCTTCCCACTGTTGCTGGGGGTTTGCCAGTGCACTGGGCTAGCAAGTGAGACTGCGGTTTACAATGTTATCAGCATCCCACAGTGTGTTCCTATTGCTGCAGCTCCATCCCAGGGATGGCTCCTCATTGTTTGAAAAGAAAGAACGAGATAACACGATGGTAGGGGAACATTTTATGGTCAGTAACATGGGAACAATAAAATTTCAGCCACTTCCACTTGTTATAGACTCAGGGTGGAGATAAGCCAGAAGAGCACACTTTCATGCCAGGACTAGCCTGTAACCCCATAGCCTATTTGCCTAGCGCTCACCCCACTCTTCTGATAAGGCACCTGACACGGTAGGTGGGGCCGATCACACAAAGCATTGCAATCATGGTTTATAACCCAGAGAAGGATTTTCAGATCCTAACTCGCCCCTTTGCCTCTTACCTCTCCGCTGCCACGGCCGTCATGGAGTAAATGCTCACAAACATTGCGGTGATGGGGAACCAGTTCTGAAACCTGCAGAATTCCTCGCCGAAATACCAGACGTTGTGGCTGGCGTAGATAAAATTGAAGATGGTATTGAAAGCGGACATCAGCAAATCAGAAAGGGCCAAATTAACGATGAAGTAGTTGGTGGCAGTCCTCATTCTCCTGTGCGCCAGGATAATCCAGATGACGGTGACGTTGCCGATGATGGAGGCGATAACGATGAAGGAATAGGTGATGGCCCACAGGGCGATCTGCCATCCTGGCTGGGTGAACTGGGTGACTGCTGTCCAGTTGTCATCGTCCTCGAGGTAGTCGGCCTGTGAAATGTTGCTGGTGTTTGAAATGGGAAAGGTGCTCATCTTTTCTTTCCAGCTAAGCACAGAACAAAATCATCCGGCATCTGCGTGCTTTCTTGCAGTCAGTGTTGGTGTTATGAATCCTCAATCCAATGGTTCAAGGGCCGTTAAAAACACGTTGGGATGAGGTGTCTCATGTCCTCTCCTCTTGTTTTCTGAGTGAGGCAGCAGAGTGCCAGGAGGAGATGATCGATAGCGAGGCCCTCCTCCCTGCCTGGCATTGTAACCTGCGTGCGGAGAGCGGAACCAAGAGAAGAACTCTTCCCACTTGCGCTCCTTTTTCCTTTAAAATAGGAAGAGGGGTATTTCCCAAGTCGGTGCCAGGCAATCTCTTCCTTTAGATTATTGGAGGGCCAAGGAGATACTGATAGATGTATCAAGCCACAAATCCTTCCAATCCAATGGGAATCCCATTGTGTGGTGGTGGTTTTTGGAGGCGCCGGGTGCCCAACTGCTCCGCAGCACTGCGGGGACGCGGCTCTGCTGGTGTGCTGGGCAGGAGCTGCACTGGGATAGATGTTGTATGCGGTTTAAGGGGACTCGGAAAGTAGGTGGAGTCTCACAGGCAAAAGCTAAACAACCAAGTTGGCATCAAATGAAATGTAGCGAAGTGGTGCTTAAAGTTCTTTTCCTCCCTCTGTTTGTTTGGGAATAATCTCTGAAATGGAAGTGCTGCTGTATCAGCGTTTTGAGGCTGAGATCAAGGGTGGCTGCATTGCTGTGGTCCCTGTGTATCCAGGGCCTTCGTGGGAACTCCTGCAGCAAAAAGGAAATGATACTCAACGAGAGTTGAGCAAGTTGCCCTCTGCAGCGATCTGTCAGCTTATCAGCATTTTGATACTTTTCACTGAATGGCGACTGTGCAATGCAACATGACTCAGCCGTCAATGTTTAATAGATGGAGTATGATTTAATTTATGCAAATAGAAGCAGCACGTCCTGTTGGTGCATGAAGTGCCTATTGCCACAACCAGATCTGAACTTCAGGGGGATGCTGGTTTTCAGAGTCCATCTGAAGAAATCCACCAGAAATCTTTCCAGCTACTGAAAATTCAGCCCCACTTCCAGCTGGTGCAGAAAAGTGTGTGAGAAGTCTGGGTTGAGTGAGCACAGCTCTGCTCACTGTCAGAGCTGGAGCAAACTACATAAATACAAGCAGCATGGCAAGGCTGAGGTTTCAAAGGCTGTTTGGCAACAGCTCATGCCTGCTCTGCTGGAAGCAAGATGTGTTTCATGCGTGTCATGCTGTCAACAGGGATTTGAACTCACTTCCACCCATCGCCCTTACATGCTGGCTGGCATTGCTGTGACAAGGCCATCGGCCTGGCACCCGGCTGGCTGGGAGCATGCACTCTTGGCCTTTTCACTTCCAAACTGGAGTGATTTTTGCAAAGGCAGCTTCCTTGAGAATTCACGCTTGCCCATGGCCGTGAGCAAAATCTGTTCCTGCAATGTTGCTGGGGACACAGCAGGGAAAGGGCAACCTAAGGCAGGGGTTGGGTTTGGCTGCTGTCATTGTTGCTTTTTCTATCAGAGTAATAGAGGCCTGAGCAAAGGGTGAGAGATGCAAACAAAAGATGTGGGGCTGGAAGGTCAACGAGTGTGAACAAGGTACATTTTGTGTTTTGGAACGATAACACAGAGAGCTGGTGGAGGCTTTCACTGTATTGCACGTTGGCCTCAGCTTTGAGAGGAAGGCCATTTACTGCTGACCTCTATTAGTTGTGTCCAGAAAGGTGTTGTTTTGGTGTCGAGGCAAAGCCTGGGATTTAGACAACAGAGGGTTATTCAACTATTTTCATATGGCTTCCTTATAGAAACCCCAGAGTAACACCAGTGGACAAATGGATGATGCTATCATGCAGCGTCCCCATCCAGCACGTCCTGCTCTGAGGTTATGTTTGCCAAAACTGGAGCACGAAAACAAGGGAATGTGCTGGGATAGGGCAACCAAAGTCATGATTTATTAACCAGGGGTGATGCCGAGGGACATCCAGCTGTGAGTGATGCCAACGGGACGAGGTGTCAGAGGCATTCGAAATTGGCGATAACTTAGGCAAGGAATACTCGGAATGATTGTTCTATATTATTGGTGTTATACATTCCGAGCTGCTCTGCCGCTGCCTGCACCGGGCAGCCGGGGCGCCCGCTGAGCCGAGCAGCTCCGCGCTGCCCGCACCGCCGCTTCCCGCAGCGAACCGCGACTCTGTGACGGCATCGCCGCTCCCGGCCGAGCCCTTTCCCGGCAGCGCGCAGCCGCGGCGCTCGGCATCGAGAACGCGCTCATTGCCGGGGACGCGCTCGGTCCGGGGACGCGTCCCCGCTGCCCGCGCCCTCCGCGGGCGGAAGCGGCGGTGCCGGGAGGAGCGGAGAGGAGCGGCAGGTGCTGCCGGGAGGCGGTGGCGGGATGGCGACGGGGGACGCGGAGCAGGCGCGGTACTGCGCGCGGCTCTCCTACCTCTGCCTCAAATTCAGCCTCATCACCTACTGCACCGCCTTCTGGGTGAGCCGAGCGGCCGGGGGCAGCGGTGGGGCGGGGGCTGCTTTGTCCCTGCGCGGCTACGGGGATGAAACCCGCCCGCGTTTCCTAGCTGCGGTGGTTGGGAAAGCAGGGCTGGCCGCTGGGCTACTCTCGAGCCCCGCTTTATCTCGGCACCGGGGGCGCGGGGTCCCTCCGGCCGCACGGCGCAGCCCGGGGCGGAGCTCCCCGCGGGACCCGGGCACCTGCAGCCGCGCCTGGGCCGCCTCCTGCAAGCGACACCGCCCGTGTTCGCCCTATGGAACCCTACGGAGCCACCCCCCGCGCTGTGATCGGGAGGCGCTGCCGTGAGCGAGCGCTTTAAGGAGAAGCGCTACCCGTGCGGGGCTGGGCGGATAGCGCTGAGAAGTCGCTCCTCTTCTCCGTGGGAAAGCCCCGCAGGCAGCCCCCGGGGTTTGCTGGGAAAAGCGAGCCGAGGCCGGCTGCTGGCTTCCCTGCGGGCCGGCGGGATGCGGGATGTAGGCAGGCGGGTGCCTGCGGAAGGGCTGCGTTCCCCCTCTGCTCGCAGGAACGGGATCATCCTTACAGCGTCGCGCGGTGCGGAGCGGCTACCGCCTGGTGAACGGGCGGAAGGTCTGTGTGCGTGCCGGAGCGCAGCGGGCGGTGACGGCTGGGATGCTGCTGCTGGTTGCGCTTGGAGGAGGGCGGAGGAGCGGCGCGCCGCTCCCCGCTATCCCTCCCGGGTTGCAGCCTGGTCTCGCAGCCCTGCCCGCTGCACGGGATGGGGACTGGGTGGTCTCGAAGGTCCCCTCCGCCCTGAGCCGTCCTGTGATGTCCTGAGCCGGCTGCTCCCTGGTGCCAGCAGGGTACGGGTTGTCCTGGAGGCATGCACACAACCCCACAGCCTCGAGGTGCCCACGTTCCCAGAGTGCTGCTAAGGCTGTGCTGTGCTTTAAAACGAGAATTCACATGGGTTTATTCAGGTGACAGCAGGTCGCAGATCCACGTGACCACAGATCTGGTACAGCAGGAGTGAAAAACATCATCTCCATGTTCTGTTTTCATTCCAGGTGATCGGGGGCCTTGTTCTCGCTGTTGGGATCTATGCAGAAGTTGAAAGACAGAAGTACAAGACTCTGGAAAGTGCCTTCCTAGCCCCAGCCATCATTTTAATCCTTCTAGGCATTATCATGTTCTTTGTGTCTTTTGTGGGCGTGCTGGCTTCCTTGAGGGACAACCTCTGCCTTCTTCAAGCAGTAAGTGCCGTTTGTTTCTTCTAGTTAGAGTAGTTAGAGCTTATTGCTTTGTATCATCACATAGATTAGATTTAGAGCTGGGTCCCTTCCCAGGTCTACGCTGAAAAGTATTTCATTGCACTCCCTGACTTTGTAGCGTGTGATTTGCTGCTCAATGGGCATGGAGGCGCTGATGAGGAATGGGAGTCTGGAGCTTGCTGTGTTCCAGAAGGCTGGGGAGCAGCTGTGCTATGGAAACATCTCCTGTGAATCCTGTTGGGTGGTAAAACCTGGATCCTGAGGTCATCTGTTTTGGATGGAGGGAGCCAGGCTGCTTTTTTAGGGAAGCTGCTGTTGAAAATGCAAAAAGTGACCTAAAAACCTTTTGTATTTAGAAGGAGCAGATTCCAGGTGATAGCAGCTGATTCCCTGCTACCCTGAGAGATTGGCTTGGAGCCATGATACATGCCTGTTTCCCTGTACCGGGGACACATTCAGGGGGGTGAATGATGTTTGGAGTGCTGCCCCATAGCCGGAAGCCCCTGAGGTGTGGCTGCAGCTTCTCAGGGGGTTCTCACAGCCTACCGGCTGGGGGACTGAGGAAACACGAGGCACAGAGGTTAGTTCTGGGCACGGTGGTTCCTCCAAGAAGTTCTTGTTTCAACCACAGGCAGCCACAAGAGCAAGAACCAGCCTTGGTCACACTGCATGGAGATGGCTGGGGCCCGGCTGCTCCTATCCTGGGGAGGAGGTGGGGGAAAATGTTACATAGACCAAAGCAAGAGATCATAGTGAATTTTGAAACTGTTTGCTGGATCTTGGCTGAAAAGTGTTGTGCTCTCCTTGTTAAATGACTGAGAACCCGTCCTGGGGGTTGTGCTTCCCTATCCGGCACAGAGCACGCTTTCTGTTCATGCTGTGGGAGTGAGCCTGGAAGTCCCTCAGTCTGTTTCTTGGGCTGATTTCCCATTTAGCAGCAGCAAAGACATCTGTCTGTCTGGTAACTTGCAACAGTGGTACTGGTGTGGGTGGCACAGAGCTGAAAGCAGCATGGCACGGGAGGATCTGCAGGGAGAAGTCTGGGGAGGAAGCAGAAGACTTCTGCCTTGGTTAAAGCACTCACTACTGATGTGAGAGCAGGGACTCCTGAGGCGGTGCTGCACGTACCCTGTCCATCCAAAACAGCTGAGCTCAGAATTTGGGCTTTAACACCCAGTGGGTTGTGTCCAAATTACACTGATTGGGAAAAGCCTCCTCCTGAGATCAGCCATGGGTTTGCTCTGAGACTGCTGGAGATTGTGAAGCTTCCGTGATGAATTTTGCTGTTATGAAGGGACAAGACATACACAGGTAAATGAATGGAGAGCTATGCGCTAAAATGGAGCAAGGCCAGAACTTGGCTCTGATTTAACACTGACAAACTGATAGAAAATGGCTTGGATTACCTTAAAGCAGCACTTTACCAAAGAAATGAAAACTAACAGGTAATTGCTGTCTTAGGAGCATAAACGCGTAACATTCTGCGTGTAGCTGAGCATTTATGAACTTTGCTATGAAGCAGGGTGCTCTTGTAGGTAGAAATATCTCAGCATGATAAATGCACCTCCTAGTTTTTTTTTTTTCCGTACAAAGCAGAAGGTTATAGATTTGCTTACTGGGAGAAAAAGAAATCAAAGCAAGGAAAGAAGTCTTGTCTGTGACATGAGCAATTTTTATGAGAACAAAACAAAATCTATTTTTCTTTGAACACATTTCATATTCAGAAAGTTGGCAGTGTTACAGACTTGATCACAGTCATTGAAGGAGCAATTCTGGTTTGTTGTAAGATCTCACTTGCTGTTGTTTCTCTCCAGTTCATGTACATTCTAGGTCTGTGCCTGATGATCGAGCTGGCTGGTGCTGTCGTGGCCTTGATTTTCAGAAACCAGGTGAGCTGGGGTTATGAGTGTGGAGTCATGGCTGTGCTGCTGAGCAAAGAAAGGTGTTCAGTTTGTCAGCGGAGCTGAAAGAAGCCTGAAGATGAGCACAGGCTCCTCAGGGATCTTCAGGTTAGGGAAGAGTGGAACCGGTCATCAGTTCTGGAAATGAACTCCAGGATGGAGAATTTGAAGAATATCTGTGTGTGGTTTGGTACAGGCAAAAAGGGTTTTCAGCTCTTAATGTATTGCAGAGCATGTCTGTATTTTCCTTCTGTCTCTCAGGTTGCCAGTTCAGATTTGCATTTGGAGACCAAGTGATTGTTTACTGACCAGCATGCTTGACCTGAGTGGCATCTCTTCCCTGCCCACATCCATAAGCAAAAGAGCTCGGTTCTATAGCCGACATCAACATTTACAAGCTTACTGCACCTTCATTTAAAAAAAAAACAAAACAAAAAACCAAAACCATGGAAAAGGATAGATTTTTTTTTTCTTTGAGTTTAATAGTAAGAACACGCTCCCCATGGCTCGCTTTGGCCCTGCGCACTGTGCTCTCGTGAGCCATGGTGGGAGCACTGCAGCCCGTGCGGTGTAGGAGGGGATGTCATGAGTCAGAAAGTGAAGTAAACACCGAATGGTATTTGCTGAGAGGGTGAGGAGGAATAGTGATTGGCTTTTGTACATAGAAAGCACATTGTTGGATTTGCTTGTGCTAAGCAGTTTCCCAACACGCTTGTTGGCGGCAGTGCCCAGGGCCAGGGCTTTGTGTTTGTGCTGTGAGATGAATGGATGCGTTGGGGTGAGGATGGGGAGGAGAAGGAAGCTTTTAATGGAAGCTCAGGCTAAGAGCCTCCATGTAAATGCTGATTGTTGTATGTGTCCCAATGTTTTTTTCCTCCCCCATTTATTTCCCTATTCCCCTCTCAGATATGAGGCATTCTATTTCTTTTCTTTGAGCTGTGCGTATTGTAAGAAATACCCTTCAGTGGTGTGTATTTACAAAGAAAGCATTGCCTGTATATGCGAGCACGTGTCCATTGTGCCCGTTTGCCTTGGTGCACTGGGGATGTGGGACAGCTGGTTGTCATGGGTTCTCACTGGTTGTCAACTGCTTGTCCTTATTGCTCGCATCTGTTTGGTGCTCTTGAAGGACAGAGTGTGTCCCAGGATCCCAAGGGCAAGTATCAAGCCTTGGGGTGTGATAAATGGAGGTGGCATTTCTAATTTCCAATGTGATAACTATTCTTGTCTTACCAAAATAAATAAAAAACAGGCTGTCCTTTTGTGCTCAGCACCCACAGCTGGCACTTACCAAATCACAGAATCCTTAGAGATGAAAGAGACCTCTGAAGGCCATTTGGTTCAACTCCCCTGTCGTGAACAGGGATACCTACAGCTCCATCAGGAGCTCAGAGCCTGACAACTTTGACCTTTTCTTTAACTTTTGGCATTTGTAACTGGTGAGTCTTTTTGCTTTTGCCTTCTAGACGATCAAGTTTCTGAATGATAACATTAGAAGAGGAATTGAGAATTACTACGATGATTTAGACTTCAAGAACATCATGGATTCTGTTCAAAAGCGGGTTTGTTTGTTTTTTCCTTTTTTGAAGACTAGCTCAGTCCCAAGCAATGCTAAGATGTGGTGGGTCCTCGGTGATCCAGGATGTGGCATTCAGATTCTCAGTGAGCCCTCAAGTGTTTGATTTTTCTATGGGATCCATGGCCACGTTTGGACAAACTCAGCTTCAGTTCCACCCAGGTTCTTCTTTGTGTTTCTGTTGGCTAGTCCAAGACATCCAAAACCAATGGTTAACCATTGGAAGTGCTGGAAGTGGAGAAGAGAGGTGGCAGTGGGGCTGTTTGAACCTGGTTGGTGTGTTTTCACTCAAGGGCACATAGCAAACCCTTTAATAGGGTGGTTATTCAAATGAAATCCCTGTGGAAGTGTATATACCTGCAATTAAAATTCAGAAATTGCAGTGAGCACAGCTGAGCATTACTTAATGGCACGTGCAGTTGACTCACAGCCCTATTTTTTTTTAATGCTGCTGTGTTGAAATGTTTCTTGGCTTAGAGAAGAGTATTGCCATGCAGTTCAGGGATGACAGGAAAAGCAGAAAACGTTCAGAAATGTGCTTGCAGAGCTCACGTGGTGCCTGTGGCCGTCCCAAATAAAAAGTACTGAAAAAATTAGGTTAGAAAATGCTGTGGAGTTCTGCAACATCGCTATGGTAAGGGCAGCCTGCTTTGAAAAACAGAGTCAGCGTGGAAAGTCTGTCAAAACCAAAGTGTTCTGAGGAAGTTTTGTCATAATACTTCATAATGCTTTGAAGTTTCCATGCACTGCCCCAAATTTTGTATATATGCAGTGAGATAAATGGTAGTGATGAAGTAAACTGCTGCTTCTCCCTTCCTTTAAAACACAGAGTGAATATTTGTATTAAGCAAGTGTAAACTTACAGTATTTTATTTTTGCCAGATCTCAGTTCTACTAACTAAATTACGCCTGAAATATTTTGATATATATATATTTTTTAATACTTTATATCAACACTTTTTTTCATTTAGACGTGATCAGAAATATTGTCAGTTGAATTGGTAGTCCATGCTGAGCTGTGCTGGCTTGGCTGTGCCACTCTCAGATATTTTAAATGCCAGTTGGGTCTCTTTCTGCCTTTTCTGTTTGTCTTGAGCATGAAAGCATTCTGTTGTTGATCCTTCACACATTGGATATGACTTTATATAAGATATATTATTAAACAACGTTTCTACTTGCAGTCAAAGAGTCTTTTCTTCCCCATTTTGCACTGACCTTCATAGCTTGGCTGATTCAGAAAGCATTCAGGAGGTGTAAATATTTGTCGCTCCATCTAATCAGAATTTTTTTCCCCCTTTTCTTACTTATTTTTCTTGTGTATATACCTATACTTAACTAGTACGTGTGTCTTCCTGGGGAGCTGCCCTATCCCTCAGCGCTCTTAAAACTGCTTTACTCCTACTTTTCTCTCCAGTTGTTGGAAGAGTTTCTGTAACGATCTGCAATCTGCCTTTGCCTTCTGTGTCGTGTTTGCAGTTTAAGTGTTGCGGTGGGGAAGACTACACAGATTGGTCAAAGAACGCTTACCACAACTGTGCTGCTCCAGGACCTCTGGCCTGCGGAGTGCCTTACACGTGTTGTGTCCGGAACAAGGTGAGCCCGCCGTCTCGTTAGCTGAGCCACCCTCCGTCCTCGCAGATGGAGAAATCCAAGAATCATTAGGGTTGGAAAAGGCCTCGAGATCATCAAGTCCAACCATCAACCTATCACCACTCAGTCATAGAAAGGTAGAAGCATGGAACTTGGAAAAGCCTTCTCACATCCACCCCCCACTGCCCACGTCCCTCAGTGCCACATCTCCACAGCTGTGCAACACCTCCAGGGATGGAGAGTCCCTCACCTCCCTGGGCAGCCTGTACCACTGCATCACCGCTCTTTTGGAGGATAAATGTGTCCTAATGCCCAACCTGAACCTCCCCTGGCACAACCTGAGGCCATCACCTCTTGTCTTATCTCTGTGCCAGTGGAGGTGAGCCACCGCCACCACTGCTGAAACGTGGCAGCCACTGCCTCCCTGTGCTCACATCCCTTGGGCCAGTAGTGAGCGGTGATTCCCACTCAGTGCCAGCCCTGCCACTTGTGTCAGCACCTTGAGTCTCGTTTCCTGAAGCTCTTCCAACAGAGACCTGTGATGGATAGCCCACCGGTGCCTGCTAGGCGCTGCCCTTTCCTTGTCGGGCTCGGGTGTTTGATTAAAGAAGGGAAGAGAAACGCAATAGTAATCTCAGTAATCCAGCTGGATATTGCTGAGAAGTGTGTATAGTACAAAGGTGTCTATTGCTTACACTTACACATTCTTGCGTGTCAGAAGAAGTGTGTTTAGATCTGTGCTGAGCTGAGATTTATTCTGAGGAACTAAAGCTAAACAGCTATGTATTAAGCCCAAGGTGTTTGAGAAGTCGTGTATCTGAAAGTGATGTATGCTGATCCACAACTGTGTGGAGCTGGCAGGAGAGCCCGGGCTTCTGCCCTCCATTGGTGATGAAGGGGGGCAGGGGCGGCTCAGAGACAGCAGTCTGGCTGCTCAGTATGGTTTCAATGCAGCGCTTGTTTTTCCGAGTCTCGCCCTTCTCAATTGGAGCCTTATTTTAAAAGCTCAGTTCATGTGTGTAGAATTGCAGCAGCACTGTGAAGGGAAATGCTGTAACAAGCAGTGGCTGTTGGTGCTACACAGATGTTTCCTTTAGAATTATTAGGTCGTGTGTTTGGTGCGTGTTCCTTATTTTACGCAGTGTTTGCACTGATGGATTTTGTAACTGAGCGAGTATTTGGGATTTGTCTGTGACAAATGGGCTCTTCCCGCTTCTGTGGGGAACAGAGATAATGCCACATGCCATGGGACAGGTAATCACATAGACTGTGTATTTCAAGAGCAACCCAAAGTCAGGAAAGTTTTAAAACCAAGGAGTTCTCTAAGGAATGCAATGAGTTCTGTTTTCCCTTGTTTCACCTACAGCTGGGGAAGGAGGGATGAGGTTTCTTGCAGAGGAGATGTAGCATGTGGTTTGTTAACTCAGACAAGTTAACTGAGAAGTGTGGAGAAGACCCCAGATGATGGATACCCCCTTATTTAATGTTGGAGAGCCCAGCAATATGCTGCAAAGCATAAGTGCTGGTAGCTGTGCTGCAGTTGCAGGGCCGTGCATTGGGCAGGGCAGTGTTAGCAGCGTGGCTGTACAGCCTGCTGCCTTTGGAAAACATTGGGAGATGCATCAATCTTGGCTGGCTGACAAATGCTTCCAAATACAGGCTGGTTTCTGTCCTGGAAAGCCACAGATACAGTTTGTAATTACTCAGTGACTCTGTAGTCATGGAAAACTCCTGTTCGTGTAGGAGGGTCGACTTCAGATCTGTTTTAAAAGCCTTGTGCAGGATGAGCCAGGCCCTGGTCATGCTGCTGTTGAGGCAATCTGAAGGAATTATTGTCCAGTCAAAGTATTTATTAAAGACTTACACAAGTGTAGCTGAGATAACAATCCATCCCCGGATGTATGCAAACTTTTGTTTTGAATGCATTTATCTCCATTGAGCACAGTTTCTTGTGCCATGATGTCTTGTTAGCAAATGTTGTGTTTAAAATTCAGCGATGATGTCATGAAGTTCTCTGGTGTCCAATATTTTGCTGGTGGCCATGTGTTTATGTCAGGCTCAAGTGCTGTGAGAGAGGCGGTCCCCTCACAACCGTGCCCCAGTACTGCAGCTGGGACCTCTGCTTGTGCCTTCAGAATAGACAGGGAGAGCTTCTACGGAGTGCCCCAAACCTGGCTTTCCTGCCTGTCACGGGGTCAAGGGGGATCCTGGCTTTTGGGGTGCATAAAAGATGTGACCCTGGCCACCAGGACTTAGAAATCTCAGTTCTGTGTCTTTCCTTGTGTTGGGGTGTATAGCAGCAAGGTAGAGTTTGCTCTGTTTTATTTTCCTCATAACCTTTTTCTCATTTGGCTTTGTCACTGGCTGTGTGCATTGCTTCGTTTGATCCCGGTGGGCTTTATGTTTGGTTTGTGAGTCGAGGGCAGTACTTTCCTATAAGCCTTGTTAGGCCAGTTGGGCTTCACAGCTCAAGCAAAGCATTAAATGGCTGCAGAAAGTGTTTTGGTAATCGTCTGTGAATGCAAACACTCAGGCTTTGGGTTTGTAATGTGTTCATGGAAGCGTTTGTAGTATTGGAAATTATTTAGGTTTCAGGTATTTCCAAGTTGAAAGTTGTCATCGTGATGGAACGATGTCCTTAATCCCCAGCTTTCTTAATGTGACAAGTTAAGCCATTAAAGCCTTAAAATTAAAACTGGCTGTTGTATGGAAACAGCCGTAGCTTAGAGGTCTGTCGTGGCCAGCTTCGGTTTGTGGCACTGCACTCCTTACTGGATGGATAGGGGTCAGCTGCCTCGTGGAGGTCTGACCCTGGGGGTCCTGGGAGAAACTCTTGGTTCTCCCCGCTGTAATCATTATCCTGCTTTCCCCAGGGCTGAGCTGGGCACAGGTGTCACTGCTCTGGGCTGTCCCTCCTTACTTCCCGGCTGTGTTGTGAACTGAAGCAGTGTGGTGTGGCTGTCCCCAGCCCATGACCTGGGGTGGTGGCACCTCTGGGTTTTTGCTTTACTCTACGTTTTATTTCTTGTTTTCTTTTCAGACAGACATTATCAACACCATGTGCGGATACAAAACCATTGACAAAGAGGTAAAGTAACCAGCATGGTAAAAGGATCTGATTTTCTGAGCTTATTCTTCTCAGATCTTCTGCATGCTTGAATCTACTGAAAAGTTAAAGCAACCATTAAACTGATTGTACTTGATTGTGCATTTTCTGTGATTCCTTGTTTGACACATGTGTGAAGCATTTCTTTCCAGAAATAATCTTCCACTTACAGTAACTGCACAGCAAAGAGGGAAACATCAATATTCAACATAGTGATGTGATTACAGTCAATTTCTGTACAGCCAATTTAGGACATCAGAATGAAATACCCACCACTGGGATCTGAAATACTTGGAAAGAGCTCTTCCCTGGAAGAGGAGCAGGGCTGCTGGGCTGTGCTGTGGCACGCAGCCTCTGCTTTGGTTGCAGACTTTTTTGTAGGCTATTGCAAAGCTTGTCCACAATTAATATTTTTCCACTGCTGCATTTAAAACTTGGAAGCACTGATAAAAATGGCAGAGACCCTTCTGTCCTTCCTATGTGGTCTACAATTAGAATGAGATGCACTTCTTTTGGGAAAGCGGCTTAAAAGAAGGTGGCTTTTAGTTTTTTAATAATGTCTGCTCTGTTGCTTTGCAGCGCTTGAGTATCCAAGACGTCATCTATGTCCGCGGGTGCACCAATGCAGTGCTCATTTGGTTTTTGGACAACTACAGCATCATGGCTGGTGTTCTGCTGGGCATCCTGCTCCCCCAGGTAAAAAGGCCATGGCTCCACAGGGAGTGCTGCTTTGTGCCGTGGGAAATCTTTTGCCATATCAGCTGTTCACAAGCACTATTCGTTTCTCATAGAATGGGTAGGGTTGGAAGGGGCGTCAAGAATCATCCAGTTCCAACCTCCAATATCTTGTATTTTCTCCTACATGCAAAATCCCCATCAGAAATTTCAATATTAGATATTCCACTTCTTGTTGTGGTTTAACTGGGATGGGAGCTTTTTGGGCTTGCTCTCCGTGATCCTTATGAGTCCTTTCCAATTTGGGATACTCCACAATTCTATGTCAGTATGCTATGACCTGCCCCTCTGCCTGCTCTGTGTATGTGCTTTGTGCAAGCAGTGCCACGAGGTGCAGTGAGCAGCGTGCGATGCCCTTGTTTTGCAGTTCCTGGGGGTGCTGCTGTCCTTGCTGTACATCACGCGGGTGGAAGACATCATAGCTGAGCACAAGCTTGGCGAGAGCCTGTTTGGGGAGATGCGGCAGCACCCCGATCCCGAGTTTGCCAGCACAGGCTGCTGCATGTGCTACCCGGGCTGACAGCAGGAGCCTCTGGAGCCCGTCAGCCTGCGTGTTGGTTTGTGCTTCTGTGACCATTACAGACATTGGGTGCGACTGATCAACTCTAACTCTTCTTTGGTATTTCTTTTTAAGCAGAATACCAAAAGCAGAGTCTCTTCTTTACCCCGTGGTCTTAATATTTCTAACATTTCCGCTGCCTCTGTGTGTCTGTTGAGCTCTCACGAGACCCCTGGGTGCCGTGCTCAGGTTGCTCCTAGCTCTTTGGGAAGCGGACCAAGTAACCGCCGTGCCTACACTGCCATGGAATCACCATATGTGCCCCATTCCACGTCGCCTTCCTCTCTCCTTGTCCCCTTCCTCTCTTTGGAGGGGCTAAAACCAGGCAGAATGCTGGGGGCTGCCCGCTGACCCCAGAGCGGGGTGCTGCTGGTGTCATGGAATGACAGCGTTGCTTGGGTTGGAAGGGACCTTCAACACTTCCAACTTCCCGTGCACCCTGGGGCCTCACTGCAAGCAGGGTGGCCTTGCCAGCAATTAAAGCTGTTGGCTGTATGCTGGAAGGTGAGGCTGCAGCTCCACGTCCTGGGCAGCCTCTCTGTGCCCTTCCCAATTTCAATTTCTTACTGGTTGCAAATCGGAGGAGAGATTTCTTGCTGATCTGAAGGGTGAATATTAAACATGTTTAATGACTTTTTTATGCTAATCTCGATTGATTTACTGACAGTAATGGATGTGACACTGAACACTTCATTGCTCGGTCCTCTGTGCCTTTTAATGATGGGGCAAATGCCAATGTTGGATTAATCAGGTAATGCTCGATAGACTTTTAATGCAATTTGTTATTGTCTGGCTTTTGTATCAGTTTATGAGATGTTTGAGTCTTGTATACGTACTGTATTTTTCCTTATTAGTAAATTAAGTGTTAGAGAGGATTGGGGGGGAATTATCTATGTTGAAACGTTTCTGAATTTGATTCTTGTCAAAATAAAAAAATATATATATATTTTTCAAAACGATTTGGACACTCAGTGCTGAGAAAGTAAGGGCTTCTTCCTGTACCAAGGATTTCTGAGGAAGGTCAGTGCTTTTCCAGCTACCAGAAAAGTACTCAGGTTGAAAAAGCCCTCTTGGCTCACCCAGCCCACCCCCACCTGCCCACTGAGCCACGTCCCTCAGTGCCACATCTCCACAGCTCTTGGAAAGAACTTGGCCCAACCCTTCACTATTGTCAGCATGGCTGATGGTGGTTAGAGAGGTCAAACATCTCTCTTGCCATCAGCAGTGTCTGGTTGTCTCCTTCAAAGCACACTCTGGTCTTTGCTTGGGGAACGTGGGTAAGCAGGGGGCAAGAAAAGCATAGCTAGATGTTGGTTATAAAATAATGGGAGAATCTTTGGGGTTGCTGGGGAGCAGCTCTTCAGCACAGCAGGTGCTGAGGCACAAAGGGTTTGGGGCCACCCACAATTCCTGGCACAGCGTTTGGGAGTAGGCTTTACTGGTTCCTCCCTGCTGGTGCTCAGCAGGAACTGGGGACCCATTGCCAGCACCTCATTCAGTGTGCCCATGTGGCTGTGCTGGTCCCAGCAGTGGTTGCCTCTATGAGAACCCACTGTGGCCCTGCTCGTGGCGCTCAGCTGGACTCTTCCCAGATAGCTCCTGTCCTCCTGACAGGATGGATACCGGCGTGGAATGGTTCTCTGGTTCAGATGGGTCGGATCCAGCAGCACTTCCTTCCTCCTGAGGTTGCTGAATAGTGCTGAACATCGCTTACCTCCAATCTGCATCCCCCCAAAGTACTCTGCGGAGCACAGCTGCTTCTGTGCCAATGCGCGATGGAAACCTACGGGGCCGCGACAAACAGCCTCCCTCTAGCGGTGTGGATTTGACGGCACAAGAAATCTTTTTATCCCAGCTGCCCAAGATCTCCGTGCTGTGCATCCTTTGGTGCTGCGAGCGCTGGTGTCTGCTTTGTTCGTGCCCTTCCATGAGCAGCTCTCAGTCACGGATGGGGAGGGGGTGTGCGGGCGGCTCTGCTGCGAGATGGGAGCGGGATGAAGTGGAGATGGGCCTTGTGGGATGGGTGCTGTGGGACCCGAGACCGTCTGCAGCCCGGGGGCTTGGCGATGGCTGAGCGTCTCTGCTGAGAATGCAGGGGCTCAGTGGGGCTGTGTCACTGGAGCTCTGTGCCCACGTCCAGCAGCAGGAGGCAGCCGCACGCTTTGTGCGTCACGGCAGAATTGGGGAACAGCGATCAGGGAGAGATTTGCTGCCGTCTGCCGACGCGTCGTGCCGATGTTTTCGTGGCTCATCGCTACCGGCAGCATCGCGGCATCGCTGCGTCCTGCTGCTGGACCCCAGGGTTACACGCAGGCACAGGCACTGAGCTACTGGAGGCCATAGGAGAATCTGCGTGCCAGGCTTGGGAGCTTCTGTGGTGTTGTTTTTTTTTTTTTGGTTTTTTTTTTTTTTAGTTTATACTCAAGTGGCTTTTCCTCCCCATCTGTCTCAACACAGGTGTCAGTGCTCTCCGCCCTGTGCCAGGTTCCTGTGCCGGAGGAGGGTAGGGACAGGTTCCAGGGCTTCATGCTGCTGCTCAGAAACACGGAGGAGCAGTGCAAGGCTGTGCTGAGCCATGCAAACGCAGCACTGCTTGGGGGGAGCAGCCAAGGGATGGGGGGAAAACGCACTGAGCAGGGAATGTGGAACCAAACCTCACTGCCCATGCCCATGCTCTCCACAGCCAAGGGGATGAAGGGCTGGGGATGTGCAGACCCCTTTTGCAGAAGGGAAGGGTAGAAGGAAGGTTGGTGCCACAACATGTGCTGCCCCTGAACCCCAGTGCCCACGAGTGGGGCAGGATGCGGCCCTCAGCCCCCAGCCTGCAGCACGCCGGCCCCGATTATTGTTGGGTGTCGAAAAAGACATTGAAAAGAAAGGAGGAGAGCTGTGAAGAGGGTCACTTTAGTGGCTCTTTCATTTATTTTTTTTTTTTCTCCCCCGAGAAGGAAGTTAGAAAAGCAGAGCCCTCAAAGCCGCATTGAAAGGGTGACAGAGACGGGATAATGCGTAAGACCAAGGGAAGGAATCTCAGAGCACTCGCCACGGTGTTTTAATGATCTGTTAACAATTACCCCTTTCAGGGGAGAACATATGGTAGATGGTTTGCTTTAAAAAAAAAAAAAAAGAAGAAGAAGAAGAAAGACAAAAAAGGAGAAAAAAGATTGCTCCAGAAACTTAAATGATGTTGGGAAAATGGTGGGGAGCACTGTGAGAGCTGGGGGAGGGAGGGACATCCCTGCATGGGGCATAGAGGCTGTGTCGGGCCAGAAACCCCAAAGTTGGAGGTGGCTTGGAGCCGTCCACGGAGTGTGCTGGGGTCACACTGCTCCTGCTGCTTCACCAGTCCAGGCACCACTGCCCTGCACGTTCACAACACCTGGAAGCAGGTGTTGGGTGATGGTACCCCCAGGTGTGAGTGTAAGGGGGAAGGCAGCCTCAAGTCCCCTGGTCGCCAGCGTGGGGCGGGGACCAGCAGTGGACTGGGGAGCATTGGAGCCCAGTGTGGGGCATGGCAGCAGTTCCAGCCAGTGGAGGGGGTGAACCTGCACTCCCTCCTTACGTTTTCCGATGATGGCCCAGCTCAGCTAGGGCATGGGCTCAACAAATGCTGGTGGCAGCCTCCATCCTGGATAGGTTTGCAGGATCCTGTCCTTGGTCTCTGCACCCTGTAGTCCAGGCATGGCTGGCAGGGAACCACTGGTCTCCCCTTACAGTTCAGAGTCATCTGGCTCCCCAGACAATGCAGGCCTGGTGAGGTGAGTATTTGCGAGGTTCCAATCTGAAATCACCACCTTTCACAGCCTTTTGGTACAAGGTTGGAGCATGACTTGTTGCAACTGCAGTGCCCAGAGCTGCATCAGGCTTGGTGCAGGTTCTCTTTCAGGGCTGGGTGGTGGTAGAGTTATGTGGTATGTACTGCAAAGTGCTTTGGCTGAAACTACCCAGATTTTTATTGAAAATACATGTCATCTTTTCTCCAGAGCTGCCCATTCCCCTTGCTGTCTCCCTCCCCTTCACACCCCACCAAAGCAGCACAGCCAGACTGGGGATGGGCACCTCCTGTGCAAGGGACTCCTGGGCTCATTTCATCCATTGCACATTTTGTCCCATGGCAGAACACATTTCCTTTTCTCTGGGAATAGCCTTGTCCTGGCCTGGCCTGGGCAACAGGGTGGGGAGGACTGGAAGGAGATGGGGAGCATCAGGGCTGGTGCTTGGTATCTGTTGGGTACCTTCCTGGTGTCCTAAGTGTAACCAGAGAGGCTCCAGAGCAGAGCCAAGCACAACTCAATTCTTCTGTGTGCTTGATGGGCAGCTGCTGAGAGCATCCTGGATTGTGCCAGTCATAAATCCACCGTGCACCTGCAAGGAAGAAGCTGGGCTTTGCCCTGCAGCTGGGAGTGCTCAGGGGTGGCAGCCTGAGATTGCTTTGCTGGTGGCAGAGATCTGTGCTTCCCATAGAGCTGTTATGAGGTGCGGGGTGCAGCACTGGGGGCTCCTTTGAGATCCCTCTCAAAGCTTGTGGAGCTCAGGCACAGCCAGAGAGCTTAAGGAGAGCAGCTCTCCTGGTGATGGTAAATCAGCGTAGGGCCACTGAGTGCTCTCCACAAAGGGAGCAAACCTTGAGGAGCTGGGGCTGGTGGGAAGTGGCGACCGAGGACCCTGCAATTCCACATCGTGCACGTCCTGCATCGCTGTGGAATGCCTCAGCAGAACAATTCCACAGCACCCACCTGTGTGCACCACAGACCCTGGCTACGCTGAGCACTCTGTGCTCGGCACCTGCTGCCTCTCTTTCCTTCCCGGTCCATTTGGTTTCCCTGCTCCCTACAGCCCTTCTCCTCGGACACAGCCTTAGCTCAGCCGCTGGCTGTGCTCCACGGGATCCGGGTGGCGAATGGGGCCGGAAGACGCCCGGGGACCCTCTCGCGGAGGCGACTCGCCCCCTCCCCCGTGCCGAGCGCTGCGCGGCGGTCCCCGTGCGCCCGGCGGGGCGGGACGCTCTCCCATGGCCGCTTTTCTCTCTTTCTCCTATTTTCTCTCTTTAATTCTTTTTTCCCTTCCTCGCCCCTTCCCCTCTCAAGCCGTGGGGGGAGGAAGGGAGAAATATTGTTCGCAGCGGTCGTTCACAAAGCGGCATCTGCGCACCGCGCGCCTGGCATCTGCGCTCCGTGCGCGCCCGCACCGGGATGGGGCCGCGCGCATCTGTCGGGCGCCTCCGCAGAGTGACAAAGCGCAACGCGGAGCTCCGGGGGGGACGAGAGGATCGGAAGGAGCCTCGACGGGGGGCGCGGGGCCGCGCTGTGCGGGGTGGGGGCGGCTGAGGGCCCCGAGAGGCTCGGGGGGAGGCGAGCATCGTGTCCACCCCCCCCCGTCCGGTGCTCAAACAGCGGCCGGGAGACTGCGGCTTGCGAAACGTCTCCAGCGCCTGGCAGGCGGGGGCCGCGCTGGTTACCATATGTTTTCAATAAAATAAGACAAATAGGGCCGGGAGATAGGGCTTGCAGTAAACCTGTTGTAAAGGAGCATAAAATGGGGCAATGTAAACGCGGCCGAGGGCCGCTCGGTGCCACCCCGCGTCGCTGGACCCGGCCAGGTGCGAGCGGCAGCACGACGCGGAGCCCCCGCGGGTTTTTATCACGTCCGCGGCGATATTGTGCCGGTTCTGCCCCCGTGGGTAAACACACCGGGCGGCTTTGTGCGACGCGGGGCAGTTATCGGGAGGCGGCGGGGGAAGGTGATGTCACAATGCCGCTGTCCCGTCCGCCAGCAGGTGATGTCTGCCCCCGGCCCCGTGATTAATGCTTCCCAAAGCACTCCACTTTACAATCTCTTGTAATTATTTATTAAACGAAATCTATTTATTATTATTTTAGCAAACAGCGGTACCAGGTGGGGCTTTCTTTCCCTCTC